TTCAATTTAGATGATGACTGACTTATATACATCTTCAAACAAATCTATCTAATCTAATAATAATACCGGACGGTGAATATTAATTCACTGATTAGCTCAGATTACACCACGTGTCCACGGGCGCTTATATCAACCCACGCACGACAAAGGCTTGTTGACTTATCGTTTACTGTAATTAACTTCTTGATTTTAATTGCAGTTAAAACCAAAACCAAAACCAATTAGGGAAGCCCACGTGGCGGTCCTCCTCGCTCGATGTCCGACTCGGTCATCGGTATCCGGCAGATTGACGACGGCGATAGCGGCGGAGCTCCGGCGATAGGAGACGAACCGCTTCTCCTTTCTCTGCTTAACATTCGAGTAAAAGATAACATCCGGCTCATCGGCGACCTAAACGACTGACTCGCCGGCGAGTCTCTCCGAGTCAAATCGTTTTCCAACTCGCTGAAATTGAAATTCCTCCTCGGTACCTCAATCGCCGCCGGTTTTCTCCCGGAATCATCCGTCGGAATCTCAGAAGGCTCATCCCTCACTCCCGAGCTCGAACCCGGTTCAATCGCCAAAGCCGGTTCATGAGGAATCACAATCACGACTTGCTCCTCCGTCGAAGTGATCTCACTTCCGGCGAGAGGCTCAACGAGAGATCGACAAAGAGGACAAGTGGCATGAGAATGAAACCACATATCAATGCAATCAACATGAAAAGTGTGTTTGCAATTGGGCAAAACCCGACCCGTTTCGTTCTCTTCGAACTCCGACAAACAAACGGCGCACTCGATCGGATCTTTATGGGTCAAATCAGAGAAAGTGAAAACGGGGAGAGATTTCAAGACGGTGGGGTCAAGGCCGCGTGAGGTCACGACGGTGGTGTTAGTGGCGGTGGAAGGATCGGCGGCGAAGAAAACCATCGTAGCGCGACGGTTACGGCTACGACGACGGAGATGGCGTCTGCGAGCACGGAGGAGATACCAACGAGCGTAGAGATGGAGGAAGACCATTAGAATGACGACGAAGAAGAGGATTACTATTGCGCTTAGCATGATTTTGCCGGACATGGCGTAGGTTCGAGAAGCTTCGACGTCGGCTCTGCCTTGCGGATCCGGGTCGTTGGAGTTCATGATTCTTGTGGTTAGTGAGAGATTCAGAGAGAGAAAAGTGGAGAAAGTGAAGAAAGTTTGGGGTTTAGTAATGGCGAGAGAGAGGTTCGTGAGAAAGTGCAAATCTTATTATTGGAAATGGGGAAGACGACGCCAATGTTGACGCGCTAGTTTTCTCTTTGACCATTCTACCCTTCATTTTTTTTTTCGTTCTACTAAAATTTAAGGGAAAATGCTAAAAGAATACTTTTTTAAAAATTTATGTGTATGTATAATTTTTGTAAATTCAAGGGAAAATGCTAAAAAAATGCTAACAAATATTTTATTGAGAAATTTGTTAAATTAAGAAACATTGAAATTGATTATGTCCTAATACACCTTTATCTATAAATATGTTTCATGACGATTTAGTTTTAAAACATCCCATTTTTAATCTTGATTTATATTAACAAACAATTTTTCTTGTTTTTTTTTTTAAAGAAAAAACGTGAGTACACAATAAGTTTGAAAATATTAGATTTAGTTATTCTTTCTTTTTCTTCTTTTTTAATATTGTATTTCTATTCGCTCTTAACAATATGTTTTCACCGTGAACAAACCAATCCATCATCTGAGTGGAATTAGGTTTGAGCTTATGGTCTCTCATGTAAATAAAAGTTTGCATGAATTATTATGAAAACCAAAAAAATTAAGTTAGCCCGATCTATACAGCAAAGTGATCGAAATAGCTGGTTGGCTGGCGTGCACGATGTAACATAAAATTAACAGAGACATTAGCCCGATCAGGATCCCAACGCGCCTGATCGGGCCAAAGCAAAATCATTTTTTTTTTTTGTAATGTTGATTTATTTCATTAAAACCAAACCAAGTGATCCTTCCCTTTACTCATACGATATCCATTCACCACATATCATATAGATATAAATAT